TAGGAATCTAGGGAAAATTACCTATTTTATACTTAACACTTTTATTCTACACCCACCTTTAAAACGCCCATTATCGTTTATGTTTCCATAACAACAAGTGAACTTTTAAATACACATTGACAGGCTTTATGGCCTTTTAGGAACGGGTTGAAGTTACGAACAGGTTTTTAGTCACGGGCTGAAGATTTAAGTTGGTTGACAGTTGTCATACAATCGTTACAATAAAGTGCCCTTGTTGTAAAATAATAATAAATGTAAAAATTATTTTTTTATCTCAATACAAAAGTATTACATAGTTTCTCAACGCCAATGTTTGAAAAGTTTATATGAACATTGTACTGACCTTTTAATTTCGCCGGAAGTAAACTAGATTACACTTAATTTTGGGTGGAGACTTTTTTCACTGTGAAATACTGCTTCTATATCAAATTAAACAGTCCATTTTCAAAGAATACATGTAAATTTACACACACAGTCCCAAATTGGTTACTCTATTGTTTTATAGATGTCGCTCTAAATACCTTAAATGTCAATTTATACAATCACCTACCTCAAAAAATTAAGGAACTAACTTCCAAACGGTTTAAATCGACACTAAAAAATATTTTATTAGAACAATGTTCTTATTCAATTAAGGAATATCTTGAACATGTTTTTTTAACCCATACATAACGTTGTATTTTCTTTTAAACACTGTTGTTGTTTGTTTGTGTTATTTATACAATTTTTATTTATGAACAAAACATATGTATTTTTATTTACTAAAATTATTATTATTCTACAAATACTTTTTGTAGAAAAAGTATAGTATGCAACTCGTTTATAAACTTTTTTTGACACTTATTTAATTAAATTTGTGTCTAAAATGGCATTGATTAAACTTGATACATAATATACTACTATTATTACGGATTTTCCAAAGGATAATTTCTATTTTATTACTTATAACACGACTTTGATTAATCTAAATTTTTAAATAAGTTTATTTCATTCTTTCAAGTGGAACAAATTGATATTTTATGTTCGGAAGAAATCAAATAAAATAAGCAGTTTGTTCGGAAACCTTAAATTTTAAAGGGCATCGCTGGCTTGTCAATGAACGTAGAATTTAGCATCTGGCTGGCTTGAAATTGTATTGCCGGAAATTTTAAAATATCGGTCGTAGATATTGCCGTCGCATCGCAAGAACAAGAATTTATAAACGACACGCCGTTCTGCATATTTCATTCGAATTTTATTTATGTCGACGCAATATATATTCCTTCCTTTCCTACTGTCTATTTGTTTAACCTTTTTCCAAACATACTGACATATTGCCCGCTGCATTAGGAAGATATTTGGAAAAAGTATATGTCCAATTGTGTGTTAAGAAAGTGATTATTATACAGGGTGTCCCAACAAAAACCAAACAGGAGTTTTCGGGTAGTATGAAGTGATTAAAAAACGCAAAGACAAGTCAACTTCAGTTTCGATGGGGACCTCTTTTGCAATATATTTTGATAATATTATTACTATATATTATTATATCGATCCACACAAATTTCAATCGCAAATAACTTTTTTATTTAAACAAATATTAAAGAATATTGTAGATACATTAATGGAGAATCGCTCACATTTTAAAAATTACTAAAAAATACATGTACGTTTATAATATACAGGTTTAAACAAAAATATGCTTTTTTACCATAAGTTTAAGACACTCTTTAGAGTGTAGACTGGCAAAACTGTATATTGTTCTAAATTAAGTTTTAATTATCAAGTCACATCTATTTTTAACAATTTTGTTTTTGGTTCACCTCGATAAAGTTATTTTTGTGGAAAATATGAATTTTATTAAAAAACATTGCAATTTCCAATATTTTTTCTGTATGAAGAACTAAGGTTGCCTATGGAGGATGACAGTGACAGTTTTGTTGAATCATCCCATACTTGGACATGTCATATACAGCTTTCAAAAGCTATCAAATTGTATTTTGTAAATTAATGTGTTAATTTTGAGGTGTCTTCTTACTTTTAAAAATGTCTCCGACTGATGTTGCCCTTTGTACTTTACTTCTTTTGACGTTTAAAACACTTACTTACGTAATACTGTGACCCTCCATCCTGGATTAAATTAATGGCTCTGGCAACATCAGTCGGAGACATATCCATTTTTTAAAATAAGAAGACACCTCAAAATTTAAACATTAATTTGCAAAAAACAATTTGATAGCTTTTGAAAGCTGTGTATGACATGTCCAAGTATGGGATGATTCAACAAAACTTTCACTGTAATTCTCCATAGCCTATGAATGGACCATAGCAACCTTAGATCTTCATACAAAAAAATATTGGAAATTAAAATGTTTTTTTTTTAAATCCATATTTTCCACAAAAATAAATATATCGAGGTGAACCAAAAACAAAACTGTTAAGAATAGATGTGACTTGATAAATAAAACTTAATTTAGAACAATATACGGTTTTGCCACTCTACAGAGTGTCTTAAACTTATGGTAAAAAACATCTTTTTGTTTAAACCTGTATATTATAAACGTACGTCTATTTTTTAGAATTTTTTTAAAATGTGAGCGATTGCCCATTAATTTATCTATAATATTCTTAAATATTCTTTTAAATTCGACATCAAATAAAAAAGTTATTTGCGATTGAAATTCAACGAAAATTTGTGTGGATCGATTATTTTGCCTGTGAGTGTATTTTGATAATATTATAACTTGCAAATCAAAACACCTAAAATTTGATAGGACAAGTTACTATAGAATTAAAGAGCATTACAAATTATATTGAAAATAATAAATTACTTGGAATTATAAAAATAAAGCCCCTTGAAAATCGTTCAGAAGCAATAGTGCAAAAAAAACCCACTCAAATTACTCAGAGTGACTATTATAATAGTTCATTATTTTGTCCAATTTCCCGGACATGAAACAAAGCTAGCATCCGGAGACGACGTGCAATAAAAAGTTTTACTCGACAATTAGAAACGACATTGTAACAGTGGATGTAATAAGACAGAAAGTCTTGGGTTGGCAGTTAGCGTGGGCCATTTCAGCGCGATTTATGACGGTAAATTGCAGGAAAAAACGCCAGGAATGAGTAGACGTTAAGCTGACAACAAATTTAGACGTCAAGATAGGTGGAAGAAATGTCCTATGAAAAAGAGTTGACTTATTCTTAAAAATAGCTTTTAAATTTTGATGTAAACTTTAATAAAGGAAGCTTTTCATAATACATGGTTTTAAATATTAAGTAAAAACTTGCTTGATATATTTAGAAACTTAATCCATTTTTTTAAACTTGAATTACACGGGTACACAAAAAATAAAATCTCCAGTGTCTTGATATTTTGAAATTTTTTTGTCAATGTGATGCTAAAATCATTACATCAAGTGAAGTGGTAGTTCAACTACAGGGCGATAGATGGCATTTACATAAATACCATAGGGTCCCTAGATTTGGGACCTTAGAATACTAAAATATGATGCACCGCTAAAAGTATGTTTTTAGCCATTTTTTAAGACATTTTCAGCTATAAAACCCAGAAATGTTGCCATCTAAAGTCAGTCTCTGGTAAATATATTCTTATTTTATGTATCCAACATATATTTTGTTAAATATTCCAATATATAATTAATAATAATCCTATTTACCTCTCTAACAGCTGTTAAAGGTAACAAAGGTCCATTATTATCCCGTTCTGCATCAAAATTGCGTAATTATACAGGAATTAAACGAAATATTCAAAAACACAACTAACAGCTTCGAAATTCTAAAACGTCAATTTCTTTATCTATAGATATAGATATAGATATATGCGTCATTTTGTTCAGCTAAATTTTAATCTAAACATGACAACATTGCAATTGCTACCAATTAAAGTTGTTTAAAATGCATTAAAATATTCAATTACAGACTTCGTTTTATATATTTAGTATTAATATTAATATATATAAAATCAGAATTTTCTAAACCTTTTAATAATTTTATTATTATTAAAATGTAATCCGTCATTTTGGAGCGGCGGCCATATTCAATATATTAGATGGTATTGTCACCTGCACCAAAAGTGTTATTTAAAAGTTCAGCTCAATCGGTTAAAAAGTCTTCCCAGATTTGTTTACAATATGACATTGTATACAAATAAATCTAATGTAAAGCCCTCGGTGGTTTAGTAATCAACGCTGCGGACTACAAGCCGAGAGGTCCTTGGTTCGAATTCCACCAAGGGTTTATTTGTGTTTGTCTGTGTATGCCTTAAAATAAAAAAATAAATAAAAAAACTAAAAATATACTTAAAAAAATTGGCCCACTTTCTACGATATCTCAAAATTTTCGTAACTCTATAAGGATTTAGAAAAAAATGGCGTTCTTTTGAAAAAAAAATTTCGTCTAAAAATGGCCTGAAAAAATTTGTTGCAAACATTTCAAAATGTAAAAATATGCCAACAGCTGAAGAAATGAGGAACATTGTCCGCTGAATCCAAAAATACCGTCAAAAATTATGAAAGTACAGCAGTTTTTGAGATATAGTCAATTCCATATCGTATGGAAACTTGTAGAAAATGTTCTACTTTTATAAGTTTTGTTGATATTTTCGGATACAGCAGACAATTTTACATAAGAATTGACTGCTAAATGGTTGTTGACTAGAGTTATTATTATTAGTGGCTGCTCTTTCACTGTGACAATTAGTCAGTTTTGACTGATTCATTCTAAGAGAGAATATTCCAAGTTAATAATATAGTATTATCTTTGAGAATTGTTTCCTATATAACATTTTAAGATTTTAAAATTTCTTAAAAAAAATTAAACTAAAGTTAAACATTTTATCATTATTCTTGAACCCGCTGAAAAAAAAAATTGTTTTTTCTTTTATAATTTAAAAAAATGAAATATAAAAAATATTCAATGAAAACGTGGAATACCCCATACATTAAAATTGTATTGTTTCGACCCTTGCGATATTGATTCTAATCGAGTGTTTGGCATCTTAGAAACAACATCCTAAGCAAACCAAAAACAACGTTAAACTTCAAATCGAGAAGATTCCCTTTGAACTTCGAGAGTGGTTTTGGAGAACCTTTAAGAGTAAGAGACACTGTAATTAACAAATTACTTGTCCAGCTTTACTTAATCAGATTCCGGAAAACACTTTAACACTGATAAATAACTAATCAGGGTTAAAAGTAAGACTAAAGATTATACCTACAAAAGAAAATCTTAAAAAATAAAGGCAATTTTTTTATTTAATTTTTGTGACAATTAGGACAAAAAAATGTATTTATATAAATACGCCTACACATAACAAGGGCCATATTTTAATCTGTTGATAAGTTTATAATGATATTCGCACAGTGGGGTAAAATAATGGGTAGAATATATCCCTAAATCTTTTTAGGTTAGCAAATAACAACTTATTTAAAGGCTAAATCTTCTTTGAAGTCAGTATTTGGTAAAATTAGTTGAATCTTTCTTGAAGCCAGCTGCTTATTTTAAGCAACCTGACGAGGGTAAATTTGGGTCTTGTCGACAATTCAATAATTATTGATTAAAAAACTCATGTATTTTATTCCAGTGATCATGGTGAATTATTACGTTTTTAATTGTAAATAAAATTCAGTAATTAATTTTAATTCATTGAAATGTTTACAATTTTCACGTAAATTATTACTAAAATGTGTATTTATTGTATCTAATGGGGACAATTTATATTTACAGGGACTGCAAATAAATTTATTTCTTCATTCGGATTTCCACTGTTTATTGAAAAACCGGTAAAAACATCACCCAGGATTTTATTTTGAAAAACACCCAAAAACAACAAATTGTGCCACAAGTTTTTTATAAATATTTTCGGCTTTATTCTCAAAAACACTCGGTTGTAACATACTCGTTTGACAGCTGCTTATTGAAAGCTGAATTATTAGATGGGTCTTGTATATTTTATGGGTAAAATTTTTTAGAAAAGTTAATTTTAAATTAAAATAACTTCCACTTTAAAAGCAAGAACTTCTCCGAAGTTTACAAAGTATACGTAGTTTCGTAAATTTCGAAATTTCCGCCGACTTTAAAATTTATTATAATTCTAAGGAATTCATTTAGTACTAACGAGTTAGACAAGGGTTGTCCTTATGCAAAAAAGTCCTTCTAAAAGGTCAAAACGCGTTTAAAGTGAAGAGATAAACCCCACAATCCCTAAAAGTGGCAAATAAATTGGGGAATTTTTGCGGGCTGTAGCAATTTAATAAAATTAATGGAAAGATAACAAAGTTGTAATTATATTTGGGATTTGCATTTGCAGGACTCGATTTATTTGTTATTAAATAAATCTACGTAGGTACATTTAATAATAAATAAATCGATAATTTTAATTAATATATAGTTTAATTAAATTTATCTGTTTTTGAAACTGATTTATATGCTTTTTTACATAAATAGTTATTTGTTTTACAAGTGTTAAAAATCGACTTTTACATGCGAGTGTTAAAGTTGCTCACGAGACCGTTAGACCGAGTGTGCATTAACACGAGCTTGAAGAAAGCTTTTCTCACAAGTGAAACACAATGTTTTTTCTACCACCCTTTTATTTTTTATAATTTTCAAATATAAAACAAAATAACCTAAAAACTTGTTTGACAACTGTTAAAATTAATTTCATCTTACTCTTTTAATTTTTAAGGTATAAGTAATACTTAAAATCAATAAACTTACCTTCTCAATTTAAATAAAGGCACCAAAAATGAGAATTTATTATACAAACACAATTAATTGTGTTCTAAATGATATTTAGACATACATATACAAATACAATACAAATGTCAAACGATGCTGTCAATTTCTTTTCACACAGACCTGTCACTTTTCACACAGAAATGTCACTTTACATTCGAGTTTTGCCTTACCAATGAAAAGATTCATTTTCTAAGCAACGATGCCATTACGAAATGTGACTTTTACATAGTGGTCGTAGAAAAAATATCTTCATTGGCAAGGCAAAACACGAATGTAAAGTGACATTTCTGTGTGAAAAGTGACAGGTCTGTGTGAAAAGAAATTGACAGCGTCGTGACATTCGTTTCAAAATTTGTATTATATATGTATGTAATACTATGTATATGTATGTTTAAATATCATTTAGAACACAATTAATTGTTTTTTTTTCTAATAAATTCTAATTTTTAGTGCCTTTAAATTGAGAAGGTAAGTTTATTGATTTTAAGTAACTTATACCTTAAAAATTAAAAGATTGTGGTGAAAGTAATTTTAACAGCTGTCAAACAAGTTTTTAGGTTATTTTGTTTTGTATTTGAATATAATAAAAAATAAAAGGGTCGTAGAAAAAAATTGTGTTTTACATGTAAGAACAGCTTTCTTCAAGCTCGTGTTAATGCACACTCGGCCTGACGGCCTTGTTGCTCAAACACTCGCATGAAAAAGTCGCTTTTCAATACTTGTAAAACAAATAACTTTTGTTTATAAATGTTTACAATTTTCGTAAAAACAAATTTGGGTACTTATTATTTAATATTTTCACATGGCATATAAATATATAAATGGATCATGTTCAAATAGTTTTTTCTGCAACCATTGACAACCAAGTTGACATTTTTTTATTGATATGCGTTTGAAAAACGTTACCATTTCTTTAGTGCGAAATGTTACATTGGCGCACTAGTGTATTAATAAAGAAATGTCAATTTTATTTGAAAAAACGTAAAGCAACAAAAAAAATTAATTTTATTATTTAAATAAAGTTGTAAATTTATTTCCGTACTTTCGAATAATTTGTCGCGGCTGCCGGAAAAAGTAATTCTCAATCACCAAAGTTCAATTTCGTGCACTAGGTACATAATAACTATTAATATATTATCTAACAAAAAGTATATTAAAGGGTTTTGTTAAAAAAATACAATGCCTTGACATTGGATATATCAAAATTAAACTTTTGCGCATTGTGAATACGGGATAATATGATTTTTTTAAGTTCTACAGTATACCGGGTGTATCTGAGAATAGGCGCACCCCTGTTACTTTATACTATAGTATATAACTATAAAGTATATTTTACTCGTAAGTCATATTTTTACTATATTTAAACCACATTATAATTGTAAATAATTCTTAATTGGCTGGAAACTTCTTAAAGCTTAAAGTGGGATAAGAAAACTAAATAATAATAATAATTATATTAATATTGACTTAAAGTGAAAAATAACTAAAAAATAAAATTTCTAAAATATGACATATTAAATTATTAAAAATCTTCCTATCATCACAAAGTTTATTAAATGAAATGATTTTTTAATGCTTTATATAGTTGGGTAATTTTTATTTTGTACATGGCATATATTTATTTGTAACCCTAGAATATTTAAAGGGAATCGATTTTTTTTAATGTATTGTAGCTATTTTTATCATTCATATAATGTGCTTTTAATGCTTAATATAATTAGTTTTGTCAATACGAGTTATATTTATTAATTTTACTTTATGGTAAACGTTATTATCCACTTTAGGTATACAATTTTAAAATATAAATAAAAAAGACAAATAAAATATAAATGTTTAAGGTTTAGAAAGAGAATAGGCAAGTATTTTTAACGTTATTTTACGATACAAATACAAAAAATTACCAAATATGGGGATTTGTTGAACACGTTATTTTTACTACTCTCTTAAAATTAATTAGTCAAAAATAAATAATTATAAGTAATAAAAATAAATTAAATACCTCATATTTACGTACAAATAACGGTCAGTAGGTATATAATTGACAAGAGGACTTTATATTGCCTATTATTTAACAATATTTTTTCACTGTTTTACAATAAATGACATGCGTGTATAAAGATGCTGGGTACCATTTTTAATAATAAAAGGCAGGGAACATTGTAGTTAATTGTGTAATTTATTTTAAGTAAAAAGTTTGAAAGTTAATTATTACCTGTCATTAAGAGTTTATTTAATACTAATTATAGATATACTTATACCTATACTTTTGTACAATTATGGCGTACATAATTAAAGATTATACCTTCTGGAAAATATTATTTTATAGATATTTGATATGTTCTGTGCGATGGATATTTTCTGCCCGCCCATATAAAAAATACATAGTCTAAAAAAAATCACATCTAAATTTTCCATTTTTGGCATAAACACATTACTGCCTGAATAATGAATTTCAAATATAAAATTGAAAATAGTATATTATTATCCGAGTGAATAATGCGCATAATCTCGAGTGTAATATTATACTTTATCTTCTCCAATAGGTGGATAATTAAATGATTTTCAAAAATAGATAAAAAACTCTGACTTCTATCAAATGGTTAACCTAATGTTTTTAACAATTTTAAATATTAGACGCCCAAGTGAAAACCCAATTGCTTCAAATCACAGTGAATATTGAAATCGGCCAATCAACGTGAATAATGAGTTCATTATTCACGTTAGTCAGGGAATTTATAATGTAATCAATATATATATATATATAAAACCCAAAAGTATGCAATGATATCATTTTTATAATCCCCTTAAATATATATGATTTTCCATTATAGGAAATTTTCCATTAGTAGAGACATGCTGGTACGACAAAATAAAACAAACATAATAAAGTGGATCGTTCAATTCGAATGCAATTTGATTGAAAAAGTTAATCCCGGAAGCCTTTCTCGTATGAAATCCGATTTGACCTAAAGTTCGGCCAGATTATACAATACAAAACTATCGACCCGGCTTAAAGCCTTGGATGCACCGAATAAATCTCCGCTCGAGGAGACGGATATAAAATTATTTTTCGGATATTAACACAAAACAATGTGATAACGATTTTAACGTCAATATGTTACGATACAATTTGCGGTTTACCACAAGATATATGTAGAATCAATACCACATTTTATATATATGACAGACTATTATGTTCTCTTTATTTTATCTCTAGAGTGTATACAGCTATAGCTTAATTAAATACGCATCAAACAAAATATTTAAGTTAATATCATCATTAAAATATAATATTTTGGGTGCGTTTTATAAAATATTACAACACTTAAGTGAATATTACAAAAAAAATTACGCGA